TGAAATTTTCATTATAGGAGAACTTAGAGAGACTCTAATCCTTTAACAGGGCAAAGATATTTTAGTGGTTTCTCGAGATAATGCAATATCACATTTTCAAGATCAAAGTTCCTTTTTCCTGAATTCATTATTATTAAATTATGTATAAATTTAAAATCGCACATCGCTATTAGAGTCTTCGGTTCATAGTTTTTGGCATTCAAACCAGGAATCCCAATGGTCACCCTTTTGTTGTTCAAGCTTTAGTAGCATAGGTACTTAGTTGGTGTTTTTTTTTTGTTTACTTTTTTGGTTTGTTACCTGTGATTTTGTCCATTGATGGATGAATAATGCACGGTGATCAGCATCATCACACGTGTTACTTTTACTTCAAATTAAAGTCCGTAGCATCGGCAAAATTGTCACTTTTCAAAGTTGTAAATAACGAAGAAGGACCTTATAAGCAGATATTGCCAAGTTTCTAATTTCTTTTTATATTACTTTATATCCCATTAAATACAATATTCTGCTTTCCCTTTTTAACCCTACGCATTTTTATTGAACCATCGTTGGTTCCTCATTATCAAGCAGTAGTTGTTGGAATCGTTGTAGGGACCTTTAATTTTCCACGAAACCTATTTATTATTTGTGCTGGTTACGACGAATTATGTATAAAAACTCTTTCTTAGGCTCTCAATATAATGAGCGCCTAGACTTTGCGAACAGGTCCACTTGTACAGTTAGTATAGCTATGCACGCAGAGCTCGCTTTCAATTTTGACCTTTACGGGCAACTTACACAGAGATATGATTGGGAGCAGCGCCGCGCGTACTGCAGGTAATAGTAGGGCTCTTATAGAGCTTATTAGCTGTTTGTTGGACGTGTACGCTTCTCAGAATCCCCTCGAGCACGCGCCGCTCGACGGCTGCGACGCGTCAAGCTTTTTCACATTTACGATTCCAATATTTCCAGGAAGTTTCCTCGTTCCCTCATACCACAAAAGAGTTATTTATAAATGCAGAAGGGTGCACATAAGACGATTATAATAATTATTCTTCATTACTTTACACGTAGTACCAATTTATTTTAAAAATTTAAAATGGTGACCGTTAATATACTAACTAAAACCATTTTTGGGAATAATTGAACTAATTCATTTTGTTTCGCCTTTAATTTTATCTCGATTTTGATTGATAAACTGTTTTCTTTTACCTTTTTCGCTATAACATGCGGCAGCTGTTTTCTGGGTGCAATTCGTCTCTTCTCTCAACTTACTAAATTAACTTACTTAATCATAATTAATGGTGGGAGAGCCACAAGCACCTCCTTAAAGCCGCTCCTTGATCTATATGTCAACGTGAAATTGTGAACTCCGTCAGTTTACAATATAACGCGTGAGATTGTAAACTAACAGTTGGTTAGGTGAGGTTAGATTGTAATTTAACTACGTTAGATTATAATCTGACGGAATTCACAATATTACGGTGACATATACAACACTTAAATCTGTGAGTACTTTAAAATCTCGATCATCTATTAAGTTTGTTAGTTTGGTTTAATATTTTTCGCGGTAGAGGACTCTTACGTAGATGATGTCACTCTATTACAACAGAATAGACATTAACTGGCTCTACCAGACAATTAATGCTTGTTTGATGACTAGGTACCATCACAACGCGATAAGCGTGATCCCATTAGCTACTAATTTTCAATTAAAAATGTATAAATTAATGTACGTAATACAATAATTTTATTTTAATGTCACGTATATTAAGACTCAGTGTGGTCCTATCTTAAATTGTGGCACAATCACTACAATCATGAAGATCTTTAATTACTGAAAACAGTAGGTAATAAAAAATATTACCATCATCAACTTAGTTCAAATGGAGAGCTGTTTACAAAAAGTGTATTCAATTTGAGTTCTTCTGGAAAAATGTAGGGTTTTTACAATGTCATACTGGGCTGTGATAACATAAAGGTTCATTTATGAATAAACGAGGGCATCAATAAATTGACGATGCGGTCGCGGCGGAAGTCGGCTAACGGGGCTGCCGCGACTCTAATAAATAAAATTCAATAAGGGTCATTTAGCATTGTACTGGCTCACCTCTGCTATACTTACATAATTAATTATACATATTATTATGTTTTACTAGTACCTTCGCATTCATCAGATTCATTTAATACTGGCTTCGTCCACCGCGTGGCAGCACTGAGTTCGATCAAGTTTACCAATGCATTTATTAAGTTTTGCAAACATGATTGTTTACGTACACAATAAACAGTAGTTATTGTGTTTTTTATCATATCAATCAGTCAAATTAACTTCCACGCTGAATGCTTCAAAGTGTTTTACAAAACAACCAAACAACGCTCGAATTGGGTTCAAGTTAGGCTTCAATTGGTTGAGACTTGAGTTTGAATTTAGTCCAATCACAGGCATTATTGAATTTAGAATAGATTCATACACGAGTCTCATTTCATATTACGGACCTAAACTTTATAAATTACTTCAGTTACCTTATTGCAATTGCATAGTGAAATTTTAAATTATTGCACAATCACGACTGATACTTATGGATTTAAATGTTTTTAACACGTGGTAATTTAATTTAAATCTGCGATTATGTTAATCAAAACCAACCACTATTAGTATTTAACAATGTATATGGGAATCACATTTGATTTGCGAGTAAGTTTTTCACTCTTCCATACAAATTAGCGGGCTATCTTATAGTAGGTATTTCTTGAATTTCTTGGTTCTGTTGAACATAACCGAGTATTAAATATTGCAGGTAACTAAAACGCCACCCTGCTGCCCTGTTAACTTGTTCACTTGTTAACGAGAGCAAAGAAATAGCATGCATATGCATATTATGCACCTGCCAGACTGTAGAGCAAGATTGTTTTTCATTTTATTTTGGTATTTGTTAGTTTATTTACTGTCTTTAAGAACTACTAGATAACATTTAGAACTTTAGCGGAGAGTATAAAAAGATACATAATATATTCGGGCTAAAATACAAAAAACAGCTTCTCCAAACTTTTTTTCTATTTATGTAGGTAGTTAATGAAAATATTATCGATAATCTGCATATTATCTAAGATTACTGATTGTGCTGAGAGATGCATTAACGAAAATTAACAAAGCTAACTAATTCTCTAAAATTCTTATCTATTTCAAACTCTCAGCGTTTATCGTGATATTAAACAGCTTTTAAGTTTGCCATCTGCGAGCAGTTTCTCTTCAAAATAGAGAGCTATCTGAATTGGCATCTCATTAAACTATGCATAAACAATTTTATGGGGAATATTTTAATTGACGTAGACCCTTACTTGTAGCTAGTATGAAGTACAACGAAGAAACTTCCAGAAATGAAATTGAAACAAGTCGCTGAGATGAATGGAAGAGGATAGCATATGGAGCCCGGAGGTTGATGGGAACCTGTGGGACCGGTCGCGCAGCATCGCTTTTTGTTCCCGGCCGGTGTCGCCAACCCGTCGCCAGCCACCGGACTAATAACGAAGCCTCCGCTCAATGGAGACTGTGTATTAAAACCGAATGTTAAATAATTGCACAACATTGTATCATCTATGATGCTTTTGAACAATTATTGTATCAGTAATTAGGGATTTCTGTATGTATTTAGATATATACCCTTAATTTAAAGACTGACTCATACTTCTCATTAAGGGAATTGTTTTCTTTGATAATTCAATTGTTATTTTTTAATGTTATGTTGCCAGTACGAGTGGTTTAATTAATTGCCAGTTTTATGTATTGTAAGGGCTTGTAAGATAAACTTAATTTAAACAGAAAAGGGTGGTGAGAGATCCATCATCTTGCCCTAACCATGATGAATGACTCATCAGTTTAGAAAAAGGACTTGGTTTCAGCAATTTATTATAGCCTGACTTAACATATTATTCTTCTTATCTCTTACGTCACATCGCTTAGTTCAATTTATCTGATTAGGTGGCTGATATTATCCGAATGACTACGAAAGAATTGTACACTGCTCGATTCTGCCATGAAAGGGTACTTTATCATAAGTAGCCATTATCGAATGAGGTACCCGAATTTCCTTTCGATAAGCTTTTGTTTCTCGATGTGCGCGCGTGCCGCGCAATGTCGCCGTGTGTTCTCTCTAAAGGTGCGGTGTGAGATGGGCCCGAGATCGGCATGCGGCGGGGGCGGGCGGACGTGCCAAGGCAGGCAGGCAAGCAACATATTTACTCATACGCCCGAGGCGTAAATCACCGTGCGTCTATTTCGAGTTGGCCGGCGCGGGCACGGGCGGGCGGCGGGCGCGGGCAGACGCCGCTGCGGTCTGGCGCCAGAAGGATTCCCCAGCGCCCCGCGCCCCGCGGCCCGCGCTCGAGGTCACCGCGCACCCGTGCCTTTCCTTGCTGTCGCGAATGCCTAATCGTAGTGATTATTTAGCATTGTCGTTGCGATACAACTATGCGACAGCCGGATCTAGTGCTGAATGAAAAATCCCAGAGCTTTTCGTTTAGCGGCCGTATTAATAGAACACATAAATGTTCCGGAGTCAGTATCGTCTGTTATCCTATTATGTTGAGAATAATGCTCAATCTCGTGATGTGCGTAACACACATGCAATCTATGACGACATAGATTTGTGTTGTTTACGTATACCTAACCTGGGCAATATAGTACCTACTATGCTTAATGAAACGTTTGAAACTATTAGTGTTGTGGTAATTAATTACTGATTTGAATAAGAATCTTTTAAATTAAAACGTCTTCTTTAATATAAATCATTTGACTATTATAGCTTATCTAATTACTTTATGTACCTACCTACTTATCAAAGCGTTTGTACACCCAAAGTTGTCAATAACCCTTTATTCATTAACGCATATTCAAACATTGTCATCATTACTTTGCTACATCCGTAACTCAATAATAGTGATGACACATACAACCAAAACATATGTAATGTAAGCAAGTTTATTGCATAATAGACGTAGAATGTATTTCAATACGTACTTACTTGTCATTGTCCTCTGATCCTTTGCGAGACGAAGCAAGCATGAGCCGAGCGTTGTTCAGCGCGCGGCTTGGTCTCCCCTGCCCCCCGCCCTGCCTCTGCCGCGCAGGGATGCCCTGCGGTCATTGGTTACTCATACATCTTGCAAAACCTGTACCCGATCCATTACACAAATTTTAAAAATTTGTTTACATATTCATTTAAAACACTTTAATATTACATCTTTCGATCAGTTATTTTTTATGAATATATTGGGAAACACTGAACACAAGATATTTATCGAAAATAGGTGCACATGTAAATACGCGCAACACACGAATCACAGATAGCAGGCGAATGAATAGATACTCTTGTCTTGTCAACAGAAAGTGTGTTATACACTACGCACACTTCTATGAGCGCCTCTTTGCTTACACAAACACATTAACAAATACAGTAGTCATCAACGCAACTTTATGTCACAAAGTATTGTGCGCCTTATATTTTACACAATACGTCTTCTAATTGATTGACGCTAACTTACACAATGATACGTAGGGAGTCCCTTTGGCTAGCAAAAAATGCCATGAACTGTAATTAATTAATACTAATTGGTCTTTAAAATCAAGTGACTGATTGTTGTCGATTTACAAATTCATAAATCTGACTTTCACTTTTTTAAAGGAATATCTTCAATTTATTGTAGTAGTAACATAAAGAGTTAATAAAATTGTATTTTTCACTTTGTTATATTTGTTGTCTTTTTTTTAAGTTTTCACGTTTTGTAATAAAGTGTGACAATTCCTTTCGAACATTCTTTCTCACTTTCTACTTTGTGAATGAAAAGAGCCAGATAATCGACTGTAAAAGTGTCAAACTACGATCATGAACTCTTGCCAATGCAACTACTACTTAAATAAAACTCGCTGGAACTTGAACCCTAATGCCCTATAAAGCGCGCTTCTTAAATGTTACCTTTATTGTGGTCTACATGATATTATTATTTATCCTTATAATTATCTTTCGTGTTATAGAACTTATTACATGGTATCAGTAGCAGGTAAAAAAAATAGATATTTTGCACTGATAGTCATGAAAAACACGTGTTGTTTGTGCATTTCTTTTCAGCACAATGGCAGGCAGTCCAAATTCGATACGACTGTTGTAAGCAAAGCATGCTCAAGTAACGCCATCTAGTCATCAATTTTGAAACCTTACTCAATATTAAAGTGACTAAAATACATTGCCCCTTGACTGACTTACACTTGCACTGTGGGCCTTATCTTGTCCGTAAATCAAAATTCTCAGATTGTAATTCAGCAATGCCCCGACAGACTTTCCTCGCTTGATATCTTTTGCTAGGCGCGTATACGAAACCTTAAGGCGCCACCTGGTGGTATGTGAGGGAAACATTTTCTATGAAAAATCAGGTTGTCGCACCCGTCAAGTGAAAGTCGCAACACACAAAAGCCCTTAGATACAAACATAGTCCTTCTGGATCTATCAGTATCGTTTGGCCTGATTAAATTTCGCTTTAACGCTCTATTTCTCTTTTTTGTCTATTTTTTCTTCTCTTGTCTTGTGTGGTGTACAATAAAGAATGTTCTATCTATCTAGTACAGAGGACAGCACATCAAGGTAGTTGGCAAGGCATGTTATGTATTTGTGATAAGGGTGAGTTTGCAACAAAAAAAATTACATCCTAATGTGCTGTCCTCTGAACTCTGAACAATGTGAATTATTGTAAATAAAAAATCTTCAAAATAGTAGATGCTCATATCTGCTCAATAGGGTATTTGACACCACCAATCAATTGACGTACTTTTTAAAACTGTCAAAACGACACTCCTCCATAGATTTTGTACCGCGATGCTAGCATGTGACGTCACAATTTTATCAACTCAATGAAACTACTTTTTACAATTTTAATGCAAACAAAAATCGTAATTTACAGGTAATTAAAAATTAATTAAGTTTTTAAGACCAGAAAGAAGTGTATTTTTAAAAAAGTTGTGGTTTAGAATTATTGGCGAATGGTGTCAAATACCCAATTAAGCGTGGTATCGAAGTGGAAGCGTAATGAAAACAAATTTCATTGTTAGGATAATATTTATTTAAAAAAATTGACAATGGTTTCAATAACATTTTGCAATCGTAGGTTTACCTGTTTTTTAATTAACCTCAGTACATGCAAGTTATTCTGGAACAGCTGAATCTCATTGCTGATTTACATAATGTTTATAATTTATTTATAATCTCGTATTCAGTACTAATCAATATTACCAGAAATCGTCCAGAATATACTCCAATGTTGAACTGTTAGTCGGATGCACAAGAAGAATACCTACTCAAAAACAAAACATTTGTTGACAACTAAATTGCTACAAAAGCAGAAGATACATTATGTCACGATAAGATTAATTTTAAGGTATTGGCAAATAGTACACAAACCACATAGAAGATATAAAAGATAAAAGCATCGCCCGAAAATATTATGATATAACACAAATTGGGCGGAAAAATAACAACACTAATCAATCTAGTGACATTCCAGCGTCACCATCTTTTTTATCGTTACTCTCGTCCTTTGGTTTTTCTTCCTTTTTATCGGCGCTCTCTTTAGACTTAGTGCTATCAGAGGCGTTTGAAGAATTTTCCAGGGCTTTGAAAAACGCTTGCATATCGCCCGTATTTGCAGCTGAAGCGACCTCAGGTGGTAACCCAAATTGAGACATCACTGGACCCATTTGTCCAGACGTCAAAGCTGACGAAAACTGGTTGGCAGCCTGGAAATTAGACACAAGACTTAATAAACTTATATCGAGAAAATAATATCATAAAAAAATAAATATACGGGTGCACTCTTGTTAGTTTATTAGTAATGTACAAAAAATGTATTAGTCATTTGGAAGGTAACCAACATATTTCTCACCTTAATAAGCACTAATATTAGATGAAATGATTGTTATTATCTTCATATAAGATATTTTAAGCAAACATAAACGCAAAACAAAAACAACTACAACTTTAATTCCTTTCTCACACTACCTAATCATTGCTTTCTTGCTATTCCCAAGTAGGTATCATCGAAAAGGTCTGCACTACTTGACCAAAACTGCGATTTCAGCAATGTAAGAAGTGGACATATTTTATGCAGCAAAACCCTACTAAAGTAGGCTGGTGTCTGTGTGTAATCGCCGTCTATCTCTAACATATCAAAAGTGTTATTATTCCACAGATTGCGCTAATAAGGCGGGCTTCTAAGGGACGGCATATCTTGTTATGGGCCATGATTTGTGTTTTTTGACCCATTCATGTCTTTGTCTTCCTTTTTTTTAGTCCAGAGTCGTGAGCTTTGCTGCAGCCAGTCTCTGTTTATCATTCGGTAATGCATATGCTATTGAATAAACATATTTTTTTCTATATCATACCAGAATGTGACGCAAGTATACGACAAGATTTTTTTGTGTAAGCCGTAACAAGTGCAAATAGGTCGGATGTAATATTTAAACAAGACACAACACATGTAACACCACTCTTAATTTCTGCGATAAGTATCATTATTTGATACTAACATAACATCCATAAATAAAGATTATTATGTTTCACAGATTTTTTACATCGGCGATACCAATTTTTAAAAGAATAAACAATAATGGTTCGCGGGTGTACACTCGTTANTCACCATCTTTTTTATCGTTACTCTCGTCCTTTGGTTTTTCTTCCTTTTTATCGGCGCTCTCTTTAGACTTAGTGCTATCAGAGGCGTTTGAAGAATTTTCCAGGGCTTTGAAAAACGCTTGCATATCGCCCGTATTTGCAGCTGAAGCGACCTCTGGTGGTAACCCAAATTGAGACATCACTGGACCCATTTGTCCAGACGTCAAAGCTGACGAAAACTGGTTGGCAGCCTGGAAATTAGACACAAGACTTAATAAACTTATATCGAGAAAATAATATCATAAAAAAATAAATATACGGGTGCACTCTTGTTAGTTTATTAGTAATGTACAAAAAATGTATTAGTCATTTGGAAGGTAACCAACATATTTCTCACCTTAATAAGCACTAATATTAGATGAAATGATTGTTATTATCTTCATATAAGATATTTTAAGCAAACATAAACGCAAAACAAAAACAACTACAACTTTAATTCCTTTCTCACACTACCTAATCATTGCTTTCTTGCTATTCCCAAGTAGGTATCACCGAAAAGGTCTGCACTACTTGACCAAAACTGCGATTTCAGCAATGTAAGAAGTAGACATATTTTATGCAGCAACACCCTACTAAAGTAGGCTGGTGTCTGTGTGTATTCGCCGTCAATCTCTATCATATCAAAATTCAAATGTGTGATTATTCCACAGATTATTGTGTTATAAATAAGCCGGGTTTCTAAGGGACGGCATCTTGTTATAGGCCATGATTTGTGTTTTTTTTTCGACCCATTTAAGTCTTTGTCTCCCTTTTTTTAGTCCAAAGGAGGAGTGAGCTTTGCTGCAGCCAGTCTCTGTCTATCATTCGGTAATGCATATGCCATTGAATCAATATATTTTTTTCCATATCATACCAGAATGTGACGCAAGTAGATGACAAGATTTTTTTGTGTAAGCCGTAACAAATGCAAATAGGTCGGATGTAATATTTAAACAAGACACAATATACAGTGTGAGTCACGTTAAAGTGTACATATGAAAATAGATGAAACTAGACCTATTTTTATCGACAAAAAAGAGGTCAAAATTTTTTTGAGATTTTTTTTTAATTTTTTATAGAATTTTTTTTCTTCCAATTACATATTGTAAAGAAAACGTAATAACTTTTAAACTAAACGGTATATCCTGATAAAATAAAAACAGTAATAATGCTAAATAACAGGCGATACTAAAAAAATACAAACAATACACAAAAAATGCTAACAAGTTATAAAAAATGATACGTTTTGAAAAAAATCTGCTTAAAAATTCGTGTTTTTTTGGTTATTTGATAAATTTCTCCAAAAAATGCCCCTATAACAGGTGGTTTTTATTGTTGTGTATTATTCTCTATGGTATTGCCTTTGTAAAACCAAAAATTTCGTGTCTCTATCCCTATCACAACATTTGCTATGATAGTTTGAACAAAGGCCTACCACAACATTATTCTCCTCTACAGGTAGGGACATTTTTAATTTTAACTAAAATGCTTATTATTTTTACTTCGAAAACTTTTGTTTTTACTTGAAATCTAACTTGTCTTTATCAAAATTACAAATCTAGAGCCATTTTCAGTTTTGTTGTTAACGAAGCGTTGAATGGCGCGCCCGGAGAGGCTTAGTTCAAACGATCATTGCAAACGTTGTGATAGGGGTAGAGACATGCGATTTTGCGTTTTACAAAGGTAATATAATAGAGAATAATACAAAGTAATAAAAACTACCAGTTATAGGGGCATTTTTTGGAGAAATTTATCAAATAACCAAAAAAACACGAATTTAAAAGCAGATTTCTTTCAAAAAGTGTCATTTTTTATTATTTGTTGGCCCTTTTTGTGTATTTTATGTATTTTTTTAGTATTGCATGTTATTTAGCATTATTATTGTTTTTATTTTATCAAGATATACCGCTTAGTTTAAAAGTTATTACGTTTTCTTTACAATAAGTAATTGGGAGATAAAAAAATCTATAAAAAATTAAAAAAAAAATTAAAAAAAATTTGACCTTTTTTTGTCGATAAAAATAGGTCTTGTTTCATCTATTTTCATATGTACACTTTAACGTGACTCACACTGTATGTAACACCACTCTTAATTTCTGCGATAAGTATCATTTGATACAAACATAACATCCATAAATAAAGATTATTATGTTTCACAGATTTTTTACATCGGCGATACCAATTTTTAAAGAATAAACAATAATTAAAGTGATGAATTTTAATTTCTGTGACGGGTCTGGGTGTTACTACGTATAATATGGATGTATTTAAAAAAAAAGTATATAAGTAATAATATCCGTTAAGCTAGCACCCATAACACAAGCATTAAGTTGCTTACTTTGGGGCTAGCTGGCGCTGTGTGAAATTGTCCAAAGATTTATTTATTATTTATTTATTTAATGGTTCGCGGGTGTATACTCGTTGNACTCGTTAAGTGTGAGAACGGAACGCCTATCGTAAACAAGAACACAAAACATGCGCAAAGCGTAAAATCGTGCGTTCATCGCTACTGCACACCCGCAACCTGAAAGCCGAAGAAGCGCGGTCGGTCCGCGGCCAGAAGCAGGTGCGCAACACGTGAGGGTTCACCTGAGCGAACTGCGGTGAGAGCAGTGTGGTCCTTACATCGTCCTGGGCGGTGTCGGGCGGCGCGGCCGGCAGGTGCGGCGCGAGGCGCGCGGCGTGCGCGGGCGCGCTGGCCACGCCCACCACCTCGGGCGACGCCAGCGCCGCCGCGAGGTCCACCCGCGCGCCCGCCCCCGCCCCGGCCCCCGCCGCGCCCGCGCTCTCCGGCGGCGCGTTGCCTAGCCCCGAAAAGTAGCGTTGCAAGTCCGATAAGACAATTTGACCACCTGAAATCGCACACCATTTTATCGACTGTAATCAACGCCGCCTTTAGCTGTGTGCGTGATGGGCCCGATTCCGATCAATCACGATCCTTTATTTCATTTAGGGCTGATTTTTCAAAAATTGCTACAAAAGCAGAAGATACATTATGTCACGATAAGATTAATTTTAAGGTATTGGCAAATAGTACACAAACCACATAGAAGATATAAAAGATAAAAGCATCGCCCGAAAATATTATGATATAACACAAATTGGGCGGAAAAATAACAACACTAATCAATCTAGTGACATTCCAGCGTCACCATCTTTTTTATCGTTACTCTCGTCCTTTGGTTTTTCTTCCTTTTTATCGGCGCTCTCTTTAGACTTAGTGCTATCAGAGGCGTTTGAAGAATTTTCCAGGGCTTTGAAAAACGCTTGCATATCGCCCGTATTTGCAGCTGAAGCGACCTCAGGTGGTAACCCAAATTGAGACATCACTGGACCCATTTGTCCAGACGTCAAAGCTGACGAAAACTGGTTGGCAGCCTGGAAATTAGACACAAGACTTAATAAACTTATATCGAGAAAATAATATCATAAAAAAATAAATATACGGGTGCACTCTTGTTAGTTTATTAGTAATGTACAAAAAATGTATTAGTCATTTGGAAGGTAACCAACATATTTCTCACCTTAATAAGCACTAATATTAGATGAAATGATTGTTATTATCTTCATATAAGATATTTTAAGCAAACATAAACGCAAAACAAAAACAACTACAACTTTAATTCCTTTCTCACACTACCTAATCATTGCTTTCTTGCTATTCCCAAGTAGGTATCATCGAAAAGGTCTGCACTACTTGACCAAAACTGCGATTTCAGCAATGTAAGAAGTGGACATATTTTATGCAGCAAAACCCTACTAAAGTAGGCTGGTGTCTGTGTGTAATCGCCGTCTATCTCTAACATATCAAAAGTGTTATTATTCCACAGATTGCGCTAATAAGGCGGGCTTCTAAGGGACGGCATATCTTGTTATGGGCCATGATTTGTGTTTTTTGACCCATTCATGTCTTTGTCTTCCTTTTTTTTAGTCCAGAGTCGTGAGCTTTGCTGCAGCCAGTCTCTGTTTATCATTCGGTAATGCATATGCTATTGAATAAACATATTTTTTTCTATATCATACCAGAATGTGACGCAAGTATACGACAAGATTTTTTTGTGTAAGCCGTAACAAGTGCAAATAGGTCGGATGTAATATTTAAACAAGACACAACACATGTAACACCACTCTTAATTTCTGCGATAAGTATCATTATTTGATACTAACATAACATCCATAAATAAAGATTATTATGTTTCACAGATTTTTTACATCGGCGATACCAATTTTTAAAAGAATAAACAATAATGGTTCGCGGGTGTACACTCGTTAAGTGTGAGAACGGAACGCCTATCGTAAACAAGAACACAAAACATGCGCAAAGCGTAAAATCGTGCGTTCATCGCTACTGCACACCCGCAACCTGAAAGCCGAAGAAGCGCGGTCGGTCCGCGGCCAGAAGCAGGTGCGCAACACGTGAGGGTTCACCTGAGCGAACTGCGGTGAGAGCAGTGTGGTCCTTACATCGTCCTGGGCGGTGTCGGGCGGCGCGGCCGGCAGGTGCGGCGCGAGGCGCGCGGCGTGCGCGGGCGCGCTGGCCACGCCCACCACCTCGGGCGACGCCAGCGCCGCCGCGAGGTCAACACGCGCGCCCGCCCCCGCCCCCGCCCCGGCCCCCGCCGCGCCCGCGCTCTCCGGCGGCGCGTTGCCTAGCCCCGAAAAGTAGCGTTGCAAGTCCGATAAGACAATTTGACCACCTGAAATCGCACACCATTTTATCGACCGTTAGAGTAGGCGCACACCTAGGGTTTGCTCCCCGGTATTCATTTTTCCCGGGAATTCCCGATAATCTAATCCTTTATCTAGTTCCGGTACTGACGATGCAATTCCCGAGACTTTCGGTACTTCAATAATTTATTTTTGAATAACAATTTTTTGACTAGATGCCATCATCTTTTTACGTACACACTATCAACAAATGAAAAAATATTAATTATGTTCCTAATTCATTACTATCCTTTTAAGACTGATTGTTTTATCTGATTGTACTTAGGTACTACTTATTATTTCTTATAATAGCGTGTTTTTTTATAAACCTAATTTAGTTAATTTATGTTTTGTCCCTAACTCTTGTCGCTGCCAGTATTTGACATTGATAGAAAGTGAGAAAACATATTTTAAATAACAATTCACGTGGGTACCGAAATTCCCGAATTTCCCGGTTTTCCCGGTACTGGCTTAGACCTGGTACCGGTAATTCAGTAACACTCCTTAGTACCGGGACTTGCAACCCCTACGCACACCGTTGATTTTTCGTCGGCCGATAGTTTAGTCGGGCAGTTGATCATGTATGGGAGTGCGCACACTACGCCGATTCGATTTGGCCGATTCTTCATACAATTTGAAATCGGGCACAACTATCGACCAATTAAAAATCAACGGTGTGCGCCTACTCTTATCAACGCCGCCTTTAGCTGTGTGCGTGATGGGCCCGATTCCGATCAATCACGATCCTTTATTTTATTTAGGGCTGATTTTTCAAGTGCCGGATATCTTATAACTGAAGAATATGTTTGGCATATTGACAGTTTCAGTATGGGAAATAAGACAAAATCACAATTTTATTCTCATGTTATAAATTATATGATATTCGAAGATTTAAAAATCAGCCCTTAGTGGACCCGTATCTATATTTTACATTATAAAGTCTGATCGCCGAGCACGTAGAATTTCGTCCAATGACCCCAAGCCATCCATCAAGCTACCCATCCATATCTCTCGCGCATAATTAGGTATATTGCTATCGCGACTGTGCGACGGGCGCCCGCAGTGAGTGTGCGAGCGCGATAGCAACATAATTACGCGCGAGCGATAAGGATGGGTAGCTTGAGGTCATTGGACAAAATTCTTCTTGCTCGGAGACCAGGATTTAGATGGCACTTGTCTTTTTTTTATTGCGACACGGGCATGGCACGGTGCATTCATCGGGAGAGATCTCACGATTTCAACGCCCAGACCATAGTATACCAATGGAAATATATTTTCGTATTAGTTCGTAATTTGGCTGGCTTTATCATATTTTTGTTCAATAAAATAAATCTTAAGAGACAATCCACGGTGAGGAATCGGACCCATCACTAGTTTAAATTGCTTAAATACACATAGCAACAAAGCAAAACGTTTAGTCTAATAAAATATTGATGCAAAAGCGAGTGGTCAAAACGTTTTATCTAATAAACACATCAATTACATCGCTTTACCAACTACTGTAGGTATAGCAACATGTTAATAGTAAATAGCATGCTGTTTTATTTTATAATCATTATCACTCTGATAACCTAAAGTCACATGATATAAGGTTATCCTAGAGCTTTTATCTGCTGTAATATAATGTGTTATTGATTAAGTTATTGTACTATGCAATTTCTTGTTAATAATAAGCTCTGTTTCTAATAATATAATCAAAACACAGGACATTATCGTACTTAAAACTTTATAGTATGACGTTTCTGTATTAAAATAGGTAGACTTAAGTTTTGGTGAGTTGTTTTTTTTCTGTAATATCAAACTATTATGTAAAATATCTTTCAGTGAGATAAAAAAAGTTAAGATTAGAGAACCAAATATTTTGCAGATATAGCTTCCTAATCTATTACGTGCATCTACTTCATCTATGCAAACAAAATTTGACTCACTTGGTGGCTGTCTCATACATAGGACATTTTAGAGCATTTTTACTTTCATGGTCACTAACATTAGAATTGTTTAAGTACGGGATTGCTACCATGTAGCTTTTTATTTACGAGTCTCCCATTCTTTACTCAGTGACTATAGCACTTGCTACAGTGCCGAAATATCGGAGGCTCGTAAATAAAAAGGTATGGAAATGGTAGCAATTCCGTAAATAATTATTCTAGAGAAACAAAACTTTAGCGGATATAGCTTTATGGCTGAGTTGCACCACCTAACTTTGACCTAACTATAACGATAACCGGTGTTTTTTGTATGGAGTTAAACAGATTTTTGACGTTCGTCAAAGATAAAGTAAAATGGTCCAACCCAGCCTTAGGCCCCTCGCCCACGGCCATTAGGCGATTATCACACTGCGCTGCGGTCCGCGTGATTTCATATAAAAAATCCCGCGCACAGACGCGTTTTCAGTGTGTTGTGCCGCGCGTGTTTTCTATACAACTATATGACGTACTTGCATACAATGATTAAATCAGTCGTCCCGCGTACCGCGGCGGAGCGCGGCGCAGTGTGATAATCGCCTAACTTTCGCGATGTAAACGCGATTCAGAAACAGCCCCAATGATTTCGTCCGACACGGTGCACGTCCGTGGCGATGCTGTAGCGCGTTGGCATCAAAAATGTCGCCGTGGGCGAGGGCCCTTAGACGTGCATCTAAAGCCCGGTCTGTGAGCACGTATAATTTTGTCCAATGACCCCAAGTATGAGTAATAGTAGTAGCGTAATGAGGGCTATCGTTTTTATACTTAATAGTTGGCACTCCTGGCGATTGACAGGACCATACTCTACAGTGGCGCCATCTTGATGAATGCAAATGCGATAATCCTCCTACCACTTTAGCGCTCACCAGTTGGTGCCACTGTCTTCGCTACTAGCAAGTGACAGGACCTTACTCTACAGTGGCGCTTAACTGGTGAGCGCTAAAACGATAGCCCTCATTATGTTGCTGTCGCGCTCGCACACTCACTGCGGTCGCCCGTCGCGAAGTCGTAAAAGTAAGGATGGGTAGCTTGGGGTCATTGGACAAAATTCTACCGCAAAGCAGACTATACATAAATGTAACCAAGTCAACTCACTTCGCGGCTGGGTCGCGGTGGCGGTATTCGGCGGGGTAGCGGTGGGCGCGGGTGTGTCGCGCGGTCGCGCCGGCGTGCGAGCGGCGGCGGGCTCGGCGGCCGGCGCGGCGGCGGTGGTGCGAGGCGCGCTGCCTCCGCGGGAGCTGTTGCCGCTGCCAGCGGACGGCCGCGTGCTGCCGCTGCCGCTGTTGCTGCTGTTGTTGCTGGAAGTTTTGATTAATGTTAGTAGGTTAAATCTGAATTTGGTTTTTGATTTTATTGTGTTTGAGTTTAAAGTAACACAATAAAATAAAAAACCAAATTCAGAAGTGTTGTTGCAACAATTAAAAAGTTGAAACGGAAGTGGACAGGACACCTAATGAGGGAAAAGAAAGAGAAATGGACAAGAGCCGTAACGGAATGGTATCCCCATGAAGGGAAAAGAAGTAGAGGCAGACAAGCAAAAAGATGGGAGGACGATATCCGCGAATTAGCAGGGCCATTATGGCCACAAATGGCTAGAAACAGAGAAGCATGGAGATCATTGGAGGAGGCCTATGTCCAAGGACAAACTGGAGATGAGTGCAGCTAAATTGTAAAATGAAATGTTAATATTGTAAAATACCTTGTAATCCAGTAATAAAGGCTTATATTATTATTATTAGTAGGTTAAATTACAGAAACTAAAGGGAGACGTGACAAGGGGGCGGGGCCGGTGTTGCAGCAATATGCCCAAAAACAGAACACATTGCTCGTGACAGCAATGATGACAGAAGCGACTTAGTGGGAATGCAAGAACATTATCTCACAGCGCATGTTGTATAGTAGTAATTAGCTACATAATTTAAATTTACTCAGCTGCTACTGTTACTGCTGTTGTTGCTATAATTTTTAGTTAATGTTAGTGGGAATGTGAACGTGAGATGATGAAGTAACACAATGGAAGTTGCCAAATGGAAAACTTGAATTTATGCAGCTAAGGGAGATTAAGGGAATGAAACAACATCTGAGAGATTAGTATGCCTAATTAATTGCTTAGTGTAAAATGAGAACTGTAACATAGAATCTCCATAAGATTTTCTAGAAGAACATAAAACACTAGTATAAGGAACTAGCTGTGCCCGCGACTTCGTTCGCGTGGAATAATGACTTTGGGTAGGCACTTTTAATAATTTAGTCTAATTATTTTACAAATGTGTAGTCCCTAAGTCGCCTCTTACGACACCCGCGGGAAGAGTAGGGGTTGGTGACAAATGTATTCTACTCTGCCGTCACCACACGGCTTATCGGCACGGGACTACACATCAAACAGAGAACGGGCAGCAGCGCTCTCTGAAAAACATCAATCTTTTAAACTGCGATCTCCAACCCGCCTGCCAAGCGTGGAGATTATGGCAAAACCCTCCACTATAGTGGAGGAGGCTCATAGTCCAGCAGTGGACTGTAAAGGGCTGTTGATGAGTGATGAGTGATTTTACAAATAGCTTTTGCCCGCGACTTCGTCCGTGGAGAAGTCGAAAACGTTCTCATACGATTATTTTTAAATGTTTTAACGTTATTATCTAAATGTTTGAATACTTTTAAAATATAAAAATCAGGTTAAATAAACATGAAAATATTTTTTTCTTATATTTTATGAATGTGCAGCTCGGCCTTTGATCCGGTGAAAGTTACTCGGTGGTATTATTTTTTTACAACGAAATCGAAAACTACACCTACCGCAGTATTATTGGTAAACTTTTTTTTTATATTTTCCTACGGGTGCTAGAATCACCAAGCTTCCAGCATGCCACTGGCCGTGGGAGAAGGAGCTTTTCCTCAAGACTACTCCCACTACCTCAAGGGCCTCCGCCAAAACTCTCGCGCGAAAATGAGTTTATGTATACAGCGCAAGCAGGTGCCCGCGGCATGACTTTCATGCATTACTATGCATTGTTGGGCGAGCGCACGCAGCGGGCACCCACTCCGAGGTTAAGTGGAGGCCCCTAGAGTATGGTAGTCGTTAACATGACGTCATGATTGTAAAAAAATGCACTAATGAGTAATTAATATCAACTTTGAAGCAAATCACCACTAAAATAACTTTCTACCCCTTTTTAACATAGTTAGGGGGTGCATTTCACTAAAATACGAAACACGTCTTCCATTAATTCTGTTATAGAATGCTTATGCAAAATTTTAAGTAGATTGGACGAAGGAATCTCGTTATTTCATACAAACTTTGCCCCTCCTTTTTACCTCCTTAGGGGTAGAATTTTGGAAAATCCTTTCTTATCAGATGCTTACGTCATACAAAGAACACACCGTCCAAGTTTCAGGTCTTTACGATCAGCGGTTTAGGCTGTGCATTGATCCATCAGTAGCGCGCGTAGTACTTGATCATTATTTTGCTGCGATGTGATTTTAAAACTGCGATATCTCCTAAGATATTTATTGAAATCGAATGGTGTAAAGGGCAAGAATATTTAAAATTAAATACTTGTGATGAATAACTTATTTATTTGGATAAGGATTAATATCATGTTTATGAAAAAACCTCCGCAAATAATGCATTAATATAAAACAGTTTTTTTTTGCATAAAAAGGGTTACTATGAGCCAACCTTAAAAGATAGACATATACTATCGCGGACTTTTTTTTAGAACTTTTAAAGGGGAACAATCCTGTCATACATGATTTTTGCGAAACTTTAACCGTTTACGCAGCGTCAGCTCTCAAAAGGAAAAAAATCACTGATTTGAAACATTCTTCATTGGTGCTCCGCTCCTATTGGTCTTAGCGTGATGATATATAGCCTAAAGCCTTCAGGAACTAACGGGCTATCCAACACAAAAAGAATTATTCAAATCGGTCCAGTAGTTCCTGAGATTAGCGCGTTCAACCAAACAAACAAACAAACAAACTCTTCAGCTTTATAATATTAGTATAGATTAGCTTCAAAGGTTCTGAGACATGACAAGGCACATTAAAATTCATAGATTCTAAGACATCATAATATTCAAGTAAAACAAATTGGTGGTAATCAAAGCCTTACCCCATAGTGCCCAAAAGAGAAGACAGCCCACCAATCTGCCCAACACCCCCAAACAACTGCATCAGCTGCTGCTGGGACATGTTGTTCAGAAGGTTCTGTAGTTCACCATCCTGAGCACCTCCGCTCCCACCGCCGCGACCTCCCGATGTGGGTGGGTTGTTCAGAGCCTCATTAATGCGACGGCAGTAGTCATCATCTTTGTCTGTTTTAGGCTCCTAGAAAAATAAAATAAAATTATTATGATAATTTCATTACTATGTTTTTTTCTTCTGGTAATAAAATACATTAACAATTGAGTCATCAACCTGTTACTATTTCTATTTATTACATAACACAATACCATCCTCATATAAAATCAAGCGCTTATTTTAACATTATAATAGTTACCTGTAGCCAGAAGAAGTACTTTTTAGAAAAAGACTTGAACTTGAGAACATAAACCCTTCCAGTAGTGCACTCGTTAACACGGACAAACTCACAGTCATCAGGGAATATAAGGAGATCGTCTTCGACCTCCCCTGTAGTTCTATCTTTCCAACAAAAGTGCATCAAAGAATCTTCGCCCTGATATACGTAAAGTAATCCCTTCCTTTTATCTGGGTGCACCATACGACCCTTTAGTGTCATTCTACCGGCACGGAATTCCACTAAATGCTTGTTTCCACCAGAGCTTCCGCCCAAGGCAGATGAATTTCCAAATAATGCAGTAGCCGACATTCTGGAACACTGAATTCAGTAAAAAATATATTAATAAACATGGCGTTTTAACCTAAAAAATTCTTGTTAGTACTTTGTGGCTTTGAACTTTAGATAAAATGAAAATTGCATACCTTTATTGGTGAATGTTTTTATTAAATGTAATAGAGATCTATCGTGAATCAAAAGATTTTCCCAAAACGAATAATGACACGACAAATTCTGACTGAAGAAAGAAAATCAATCAACAACAATGACATGACATAAGTTTTTTTTATTACAGGTTAAAAAACTTGCAGCGATGTGGATTGCTGTGAATTGGGATCGGTCGTTCAAATAGTGTAAGGAGAATAGAAGAGGAAAAAGTTTCTTTGATTGTCAATGCCATTTTAAAATTGTAAGTTTCTCCGTAAAATCTGAGGTAAAATCAGTATTTTCTAGCCTGGGTCATGTACTCACGTTTGACCCATAATTCATGGCATTCTGGCATTGCAATGCATTGTTGACATCGGCCAAATAGCTTTGTGTCAAGGCCAGTTCCTTACTATGACAGCTCTAAGGATGCCGAAATTACTATCGATATTCGATAGTTTTAAATGCATGGCTAAATTTAAAAAAAATAACAAAAAAAAACATTAATTTTGATTCTGAGATAGTATCTTGCGAAAAAAAAACTAATTGAAAATTACCAATTTAATTTGGTTTTTTATTTGTTTCACCAAAATACGAAGGAAATTTAGATCTTGGATAAAAAAAAATACTTTTTAAATGGCGTCCAATTTGAAAAATGTACTTTTAAATAATTTTAGCATATTAAAACATTTTTTTATGGTTTTCTTGACATCATCAATCATGTTGTTAAATGTGGGAATGCCAGAGAAAATAACAAACTTATGAATTTCACTGTGACCAGCCCCCCTAACCAAGTGTCAAAACGTGACAATTTTAAAACTTGCGCTCCGCATTTTTTGTGTAGAGTTACTTTGCTCCGTGAAGAAATTCGATTTTCAGAGCAACCACTTGCCTAAGGATCTTGATGAAGTTTTTTTATTTGAACACTGACTCAATACTCGATTGAGAGTATTATTGGTTCTAGATTTTTTTCTTTTAATATGTATATTGTGCATTACTTTAAGACCAATAGGTGAAAATATTTTGTTTTAAAACGAACAGGCATTTCTTTAAAGGATGTAACGCTTTTAAACTAAATAGAACACCTGCTTGACAGGCCCCAAAACGACACGAAATGTTTTCGTAAAGTTATTATATTGGGAGCGTTTGGTCAAAAAAGCGCAAACTAGCGCTAGTTAGAAAAATGGCGTCCGTTTAGCGGTATAAGTTCTAACACTGCTAAAAAAATGTATGGTAAAACGTCACTTTTGAAGTTAGCAAATATGTCCTCGCCGAAAACACGATAAAGTTTTCGGTGGTTGCCATGGCGACCGCCAATTTGCTAACGATTTCTAAAAAGTGCTATTTTCGGCCAAACGCAGCCATTATTTTAACAACATATTAATAACATAATATTTTATGTTATACATAAAATATTGAAAAAACATGTATTTTTTACTTATTTATAGCTTTTGGGGATTTTTAAGTAATCATGGAATTTCCAAAATATCTTTTTTATTTAAAATATGTATCGATACTTTCAAGGCAGCACTATAATTGCATTTCGATTCGTTCTTCACTTCATAGCTCATCCATATTGCTAGGAAAACTAGAAAAGAAGAAAAAGTTACTTTGGGTTCTAGCTAGCTCTAAGTGAATTATTTTTAATATTATAAATTATTAAAAACTAATTAAGACTGAGTCTTCTTTGAAATATCTTGAACAATAATGAGCGGAGTACAAACAGGTAAGCAGTTTTTGTTGCTGTTGTTGGCATGTCGGTACTTTTTATGAATTGTTTCATTTATTGTTTTATTTTCAACTTTGCTACGAAGCTATAATTGGTTTTTAATTGAAATATTTATGAGGATATTACCTACGGAATATTTCTTATCATAAAATGGTTGAAATTGAAGTAGGGCCTTTTGTTGGTAACCTTACACATTTTTAAGATAACAAGACGTGAGTGTGAGTCACCCATAAATAATACAAAATGATTTTCGTACACAAACGTTGAAACTGTTGTCTTATTATTTATCCACATAGTCCTGTCTTATTATTGGATTAAGCAATTAGTGAGACTAGCAATGTTTATGGTAGGTGTCATGTATTCCAGTACCTAAGTAATGTTGTAGGTAGCTACCTACATAAATAAATATTGTAACTTATTATTAGTTACTATTTTGGTACTTTATGATGTAATAAATCAATGTAAAAGCAAATCAGGTGTGCATATATTTTATGTTATTTTAAGCATAAACAAATACTGTAATATCAGGGTTTTAACTGTTGAGCAATTTATTTCTACACCGAATCCATAATGTTTTCACATTATTCCACTAAATTGCGTAAATTAAATACTTAGAATTTGTCTACAATAATTAGATTATTTTAATAGAATATCAATGTTAATTTATACAATAAAATATTTGTACTCATTATAAAAATTGACAATAAAAAAATCATGAATTAATTTCTTGTTAGTATGATGCTCGTTCACATACATTTTGTGTTTTGGTGAGGGAGTTGGGGATTAAATTTGTACTAGAAAAAATTTTCAAATAGATAATGTTTAAATAAACTTGCCCAACTAAAAAATAAATAAATAATGAAATTTATGAATGTTGCAGGAAACTATTGATTCTTGCTGTTTAGATTTTGCCATAATACTGACATTGTGTTTCTTATTTTACTTGTTACCTCATAATATTTTATCTTTTATCCTTAACCTAGTGGCCCGATTACTCAATTTTAAAATGATGTGCAAGAGGTTTTCTAATATGATTGAGTTGTGGGAATAATATAATTATTGTTCTTACTAAAAACATCTTCATGTTTTTTTTTAAACATTGCATTTAAAAAAAACATCTGTTCCTGAATTTCTTTACAGATTTATATGACTAAAACTTCAATTTTATTAATCAGCTTCAGCATTAGTCACACAAGATTAGATAGAATAGATAAATATGACTTGTTCATTGATGATATTTATGGGTATTGTGCAAAGCCATAAGGGAAAAAATGTCTAAATATAAAACTGAAAAATACAGGGCTGAATTGACCCATACGGCGACTAACGTCTCATGCGGCGGGTGACTCAATATCGCAATGTGGGTTGACTCTGTAATTCTGTGATCTGCATGCGTCTACAGGCAATGATTCAATGCAGTCTTAGTCTTAACGCACCAAGTCTACCTATGGACAATATGGACTGGGGATCAGGCTTTGTGAGACTCAAACCTTCGCGCGTACTTTCAGGCTAGTTTTAGTCAAAAAATAATTATTATTGGTGACTGGAAAACCCCAAATAGGTGACCGCCGCTCATCTGACCTGACACCCTAAGAAAGTTCCAGGTAGAACCAGTATAACTAGAGAAGGGATTTCCTAACTTTTTTGAGACGCGCCCCTTTCGACAAAAAAAATATCCGCGCCCCCCATCCTCCAGTCCCGAGTATTTATTGGTCGTATCGAGCAGTCTGGAATGTATTTTCTCAGCGGTCGCAGGATTTTAATACTTACTACACAGATGGCCCGCGCCCCCCTTTAAAAGTCTTAGCGCTTCCCCCCACTTTGGGAACACCTGAACTAGAGCATCTTCCATAGGCATCTAGGCAGTTGCAATTTCCGCACTTCTTCTCTAAGCGTTCTAGAGCTCTAGGCTCGAGGCTCTAATTAGATAAGGTATGTATAGCCTTGGATATCATTCCTTTCCAAATCTATCTTGAAAAAAACTGGACTTTATTCCTGTGAAAATATTAAATGTAATTTTGAGATTGCAGACAATACTTTCGCCCGTAGGTATTTCCTCCTGTTTTAAAAATTACTCAAACTACTTTGTAAATACCAGCTTTGAATTGCCTTTCTTTGCAAATGCAAAGATATTTCCAAATGACAGTTACGGCATCAACATAATGGCCAACAAAAACGAAGTAAAAAACGAAAAAGTAAATTGCAGCTTTGATGTGGCAAGCTAGCAAAGATGTTTTGCTCAACTGGTAATGAACCTTTCACGCCGTAGTATCTCGCAATCGCAACACCAGGAAATCTAAGTCTGTAAGTGGCTGTCGGTCATGTACGTAATAAATATACCTTTAAGACCGAGAAAAAGGCTATTATCATCATGGCACTCTAATAATAATCAAATTGTCCGTGAACGTGACTCAGAAAAAGCAGGTATTCCGTTACCGATATTTTTTGCCCTGTTTTAACTAGTCTGGATGACGTAATTCTTTTGGTTCTATCCAACATGAGAGCCACGCGCCTGTTTCGTTTGCCGCAGGCGCTGTCAATAAACTTAAGGCGTACAAGGTGAGCTTGTGTTGTTTTGTTCCTCGCTTCACGGTCAAAACCGGCATATCCTCCACGTATGCGACATAATTATTTTACTAAAATCTGCACTTTGGGAAATGTTCTGGATTGTTCATTATGCGAGTGTTTCGTTTAGAGGTCAAAATCATATTGAAATTTTTAAAAACTATAGCTCGCATGATGGTTGGTGAAAGTGGCGAGCACGAGCACTCGGGCAACGGCGCGAGACGGGCGCGGGCGGGTGTGCGGCCCGACGTGGCGGAAGACCCGATCCATTGCGCGCCGGCTGCGCACACATTGATGCCGCCCGTGCTCGACGCCTTGCCAAAGTCGCGTTATGTTTTTCAAAGTGACAGTACTTTCCTAGAAACTATCATGTAACGNATCTGTTAACACCACTAGGAAACCAAACGGGCCGGAGCAGTTTCAAGACTTAGGTCGGCCACATTTCGAGTATGGGATGATGCATCTGTACTAGTATTATATTATCTGTGTTATTAGTTACTATTTTGGTACTTTATGATGTAATAAATCAATGTAAAAGCAAATCAGGTGTGCATATATTTTATGTTATTTTGAGCATAAACAAATACTGTAATATCAGGGTTTTAACTGTTGAGCAATTTATTTCTACACCGAATCCATAATGTTTTCACATTATTCCACTAAATTGCGTAAATTAAATACTTACAATTTGTCTACAATAATTAGATTATTTTAATTGACAATAAAAAAATCATGAATTAATTTCTTGTTAGTATGATGCTCGTTCACAGACATTTTGTGTTTTGGTGAGGGAGTCGGGGATTTAATTTGTACTAGAAAAAATTTTCTAATAATGTTTTTTAAATAAACTTGCCCAACTAAAAAATAAATAAATAATGAAATTTATGAATGTTGCAGGAAACTATTGATTCTTGCTGTTTAGATTTTGCCATAATACTGACATGTGTTTCTTATTTTACTTGTTACCTCATAATATTTTATCTTTTTTATCCTTAACCTAGTGGCCCGATTACTCAATTTTAAAATGATGTGCAAGAGGTTTTCTAATATGATTGAGTTGTGGGAATAATATAATTATTGTTCTTACTAAAAACATCTTCATGTTTTTTTTAACCCTTAACCACTGACGTACGTACGTGGTACGTCGGTCAAACGGTTTTTCGTTCAAAACTTCATTTTGTGCGGGAATTTTTGCGTGTCCTTTTTGGTAGTTTCCTAGTGGCCAGAGATGCGTGTGCGACGGGAGAAAATAGATGGGTAGCACGTCCCTAAGTAGGAGAGCTAGACCACCCGACGTATGTGGTACGTAACGTCAGTGTTAGTGTAACTTTTTCAATATCGCTTTTGTATGTTGGTCCATAGATAAAATTAATTGTTAGCAGTCTAATTTATTTACTTGGCCGTCTATTTATAAAAAACCTTATTTACGCCAAAAATTATTACAAATGACGAAGAAATTAGCAAAAAATCCAGTGGATGGAAATTTTTATATTAGTTGCGGTTTTCGAGGACAAACATCATGATGGTGAAGGAGCTTGTGGCTTTGGTATAGACTTCTTCTGAAGATTGTATACCATTTTTTCATATTTCCTAGCTAGTTTGAAGCACGGCAAACTCGTGACTAGGTCATCAAACAAAGAAATATTTTAGAAAATAGCCTTCCTAAATGAACTGTATTAAAAAGTGACTTAATTTGTGAATTATTGCTATTTTGATTTTTTCCTGATTAAAACTATTATTAATCTTTAATATGGCCAAAATAGAAGTTCCTAGTGTTATCGAATATTTTTGTGTTGATTTTTAAAAAATGCCTGTCTAACTTTTATTACATCTGGAGAATTTCACCAATATCATACTATTCTATTAATCTTACTATATTTTTTTACTATCTATGTTTAATATAAACATGTGTTAATAATTTAAATTCAAACTTCACCAAAGTTACACTCTATTGATTCATCAAGAGGTTTTTAAAGTTACGTACGTATGCCGTACGTACGTCAGTGTTAGTGTAACAAAATGACACGTCAGTGGTTAAGGGTTAAACATTGCATTTAAAAAAAACATCTGTTCCTGAATTTCTTTACAGATTTATATGACTAAAACTTCAATTTTATTAATCAGCTTCAACATTAGTCACACAAGATTAGATAGAATAGATAAATATGGCTTGTTCATTGATGATATTTATGAGTATTGTGCAACACCATAAGGAAAAAAAAATCTAAATATAAAACTGAAAAATACAGCTCTGAATTTGCCCATACGGCGACTAACGTCTCTCGCGGCGGGTGACTCAATATCGCAATCTGGGTAGATTCTGTAATTTTGACTTTCAAGCTGCATGCAGGTCTACAGGCAATGATTCAATGCGGTCTTAACGCACCAAGTCTACCTATGACAGTGGGGACTGAGGATTAGTCTTTATGAGACTCAAACCTTCGCGCGTGCTTTTAGACTGATGAACTTTGTCACCCCAAATTGGTGACTGCCGCTCATCTGACACCCTAAGAAAGTTTCAGGTAGAACCAGTATAACTAGTTAGGGAACCCCTACTGTTCCCTAACTTTTTTGAGACGCGCACCCTTTCGACCAAAAAAATATCCGCGTCCTCATCTCGTCATCTTTTAGCGCCTCCCCTGGGGGGGGCGCCCCCCTCTTTGGGAATCCCTTAATTAAAGCATCTCCCATAGGCATCTAGGTAGTTGCAATTTCCGTACTTCTCTAAGCGTTAAGAGCTCTAGGCTCGAGGCTCAAATTAGATAAGGTATATCCTTGGATATCATTTCAAATCTATCTTAAAAAACGGGGCTTTTATTCCTGTGAAAATATTTATGTAATTTTGAGATTGCAGACAATACTTTCGCCCGTATTTCCTTTGTCTCCTGTTTTAAAAATTACTTACACTACTTTAAAATACCAGCTTAAAATTGCCTTACTTTGCAAATGCAAAGATATTTCCAAATGACAGTTACGGCATCAACATAATGGCCAACAAAAACGAAGTAAAAAACGAAAAAGTAAATTGCAGCTTTGATGTGGCAAGCTGGCAAAGATGTTTTGCTCAACTGGTAATGAACCTTTCACGCCGTATCTCGCAATCGCAACACCAGGAAATCTAAGTCTGTAAGTGGCTGTCGGTCATGTACGTAATAAATATACCTTTAAGACCGAGAAAAAGGCTATTATCATCATGGCACTCTAATAATAATCAAATTGTCCGTGAACGTGACTCAGAAAAAGCAGGTATTCTGTTACCGATATTTTTTGCCCTGTTTTAACTAGTCTGGATGACGTAATTCTTTATTTCTGCTCTCTGTTCTTTTGGTTCTATCCAACATGAGAGCCACGCGCCTGTTTCGTTTGCCGCAGGCGCTGTCAATAAACTTAAGGCGTACAAGGTGAGCTTGTGTTGTTTTGTTCCTCGCTTCACGGTCAAAACCGGCATATCCTCCACGTATGCGACATAATTATTTTACTAAAATCTGCACTTTGGGAAATGTTCTGGATTGTTCATTATGCGAGTGTTTCGTTTAGAGGTCAAAATCATATTGAAAATATTAAAAACTATAGCTCGCATGATGGTTGGTGAAAGTGGCGAGCACGAGCACTCGGGCAACGGCGCGAGACGGGCGCGGGCGGGTGTGCGGCCCGACGTGGCGGAAGACCCGATCCATTGCGCGCCGGCTGCGCACACATTGATGCCGCCCGTGCTCGACGCCTTGCCAAAGTCGCGTTATGTTTTTCAAAGTGACAGTACTTTCCTAGAAACTATCATGTAACACTAATTGCATCTGGAGATATAAGTGATCTCATTATTGTTTTGTTTCTGATGCGAATGGGTGATGATATTGTCTCGTGCTTCGAAGAGCCTATTGTAGTGATTCCAACGCAAACATCCGAAATATGTTACATTTTCGCGGTAGACGAGGCAGATAGTGGATAGGGGTATGGCGAGCGATGGGGCGTCGAGCGGCGGCATGGAGCCAGCGAGCTTGGAGTACATGGAGGACCCTTACTTTGTGCCGCCGGACGACGAGTCAACGCCGAGCTTCGACGTGGCCGTGGACGAGTTGGACGAAGTCGAGGAGATAGCCAACTGGCCACACGATGACCCCGAGGCAGATTGGCGCGCGTTGCCCGATCTTGTGGACTCCGGATTGTGCATAGAGACAGAGTTTTACATGGACAATCGGCGCCGACGACTAAGAATATTTCGAAAAAAAATGCGAGAAGTCCGAGTAACGTTCCAAGATTTATCTAAGCCGTATCTTGCCAAAGTTTCCAGTCACACAAACTACAAGAAGTTTTTAGGTATCACTCTCGGAGGTTAGTTCCTATGAATATGATAAAACTGTTTATTTGATTTTTGCCCGAACAATGTTTTTATTTTAAACGGAAAAGATTGCCAAGATTGTACCAAACCAACCCGGTAGCGCGGCGGTCTTAATTATCATCGCCTTCCAGAAATTCCAAAAGAAGAGCTTTCAATTAATTTTACAATCCGTTGCTCATGATAACATTTTACATAAATCGAACATCCAATAAATTGTCTTTCTGGCAAAATTAAAATAAGTTATCCAGCACAATGTTTCTGACCTGTTCTCTCAAACTTGCTACAGCAATTTTGAATACATAGCCGATAATACTTTTTTTTGTCATAGCTTCTGAAGTTCTGACATCCCAACATAGCTCTATTTAAAATTTATCAGCCCATATAGGGTCCTTCTAAGGACCCTGTATGTTTAGTTGTCGTGACTCTACATAAGTCGCTCTACACGCACTGTATTATCGAAATAACCATTTTTGACATCTCTCTTAACTAATATACTTTTCATCACTTGAGGTTCATTAATAATTCAAACAATACGGTAATAAAAATACAGAAGAAAAATATTATATTCGTACAATAATGTTCGCGATGTTTTTCTGGCAGATAAGAAGTAGGTACAAAGTGTAAGCTTTTAATTTATAGTACATAGCGCAAATTACCTACGAATAATCTCGTTAACCCATTTTTAGCTAAGCTTCATTGTATTAGAAATGGGTTCCACGGGGACCTAACTCTAACCAAGGACCCTCGAATTAGCAGTCCGTTGCCGACAGTTTTAGGCGCCTTGCTATCTATGGGCTCCTTTTTTCAAAGATTTCAGAAGAATATCTGTTGTAATAAATAAAGAAATAAACAGTAAATTACCCTTTTTTAAACCGTATCATTATTCGTTTCTTCACGTAGCTTAGCTAAAGTCGGCATAACAAGGACTGGAGCTTTGAGTGAAAGCTTTTTTAAAAGGGCGCAGTCTTGCACTTTACATTCGCAAAAAATAACGGTGTCACGTCATACTGTTGTTGAAATTAATTTATTTCTGCTGTTCAAGAAACAACAAATTATATATAAGACACATGGGAATAGCGTAGTTTTAGTAGAAATGTCAGTAATCGACCAGACAAAGGATTAAACAAAGTTTTACTTGTGCTACATTTAGACTTTCAGACAATGTGAATGTACAATTACAAAATAACGCGGGCGGTGTCCTTGGCGGTAGTGACCTGCCCTCTAGGCAAAGTAACATTCCTGACCCAGAAGAGCGAAGTAGTTATGTACAAGAAAGACATAACAAAGCGATTACGAAATTGCGTCAATTTTAATTAGAGATCGTAACCAAAATACGAATACGAGCGTACAAAATAGTAGTTATAGCTGACTTCAAGTTCAACCCCTACTACATTGTCCTAGACTGTTTGATCGCACTGATCATCAAACAGTTGATTTGATGTTAGACGACTTTTTTTTTGCAAATTCCTTCATTACCTGTTGTTAGAATCCAATATTTACTTTACACTATACGTCCTCATTATGTTGTTCATTCATTAAATGTTAATATAGATCGATAAAGCCGCTGATTAACTAATACAATGAATTGCGAATTTGCGACGATAAAATTAATTAATGTTATAAATACATTAAATAACTAATAATACGAATCCAAATTATAATCACTATGAATAGAGAACGTCCGAAAGAGAGTAGAGTTAGAGTAGAATTATTGTATGATACAGAAACCCATAAGAATCAACCTCAATCGTCTTTGCTTTTGAGTAATAAAAAACTTGATGGGTACCTAAACCCAAATGTTTTTGAACTAAAATAGAGAAACACGGGTCTCAACGCGACATTTTTATATGAGTTACATAATGTACTCACGTCTTGACGTTTCGGCCGCTACGCTGCGGTCGTGGTCACAAGCAGACTCTTGTCTGCTCTTACTTGCTTGTGAGTACATTATGTAACATATAAAAATGTCGCGTTGAGACCCGTGTTTCTCTATTTTAGTTAAAATGGAACGCGAAATTTAAAATGTAATAAATATTTTTTGTTAAAGCTGAAGAAGCGATGGCAGCGACGGGCGCCGCCGGCGACGCGCAAACGCCCGACGAGCTGGTGGGGCTGACGCCCGAGCAGGCCGAGCAGCTGCGCGCCGAGTGGAGCCGCGAGCTCGCGCGCGTCGAGGACGAGATCGCCACGCTGCGCACCGTACTGCAGAGCAAGGTGAGCTAACATAAGCGAACGTCAATATTGTAATAAAATTTGTAGCATTTGGCCTCTTGATCTGGTCGACCTGATGCAGCGGCAAATGGAGCAACTCTTCACTGACTGAACCTGTAAACAATGGTTCCACCGCACACCGTCCCGTCCCGTAGAGCAAGGTAAGTTAACAAAATGGTCCTGTTTGTTCCTTAAATGACATAAAAGGAGATCTAACAAATTCCTGGCGTGTGGAGGTGTCAAGACGCCCGACTGACGCTCGCTGGTGGGGCTGATGCCCGAGCAGGCCGAGCAGCTGCGCACCGTAGTTCAGAGCAAGGTGAGCTACCGAATGAAACAGAAGGAGATCTTACAACTCCCCGCTATGTGGAGCTGCCAACTGGCCCGCGTCAAGACACCCGACGAGCTGGTGGGGCTGACGCCCGAGCAGCTGCGCGCCGAGTGGAGCCGCGAGCTCGCGCGCGTCGAGGACTAGATCGCCACGCTGCGCACCGTACTGCAGAGCAAGGTGAGCTACCGAATGAAACAGAAGGAGATCTTACAACTCCCCGCTATGTGGAGCTGCCAACTGGCCCGCGTCAAGACACCCGACGAGCTGGTGGGGCTGACGCCCGAGCAGCTGCGCGCCGAGTGGAGCCGCGAGCTCGCTCGCGTCGAGGACGAGATCGCCGCGCTGCGCACCGTACTGCAGAGCAAGGTGAGCTACCGAATGAAACAGAAGGAGATCTTACAACTTCCCGCTATGTGGAGCTGCCAACTCGCCCGCGTCAAGACACCCGAAAAGCTGGTGAGATTGACGCTCGAGCAGATGGAGCAGCCGCGCGTCGAGGACGAGATCGCCACGCTGCGCACCGTACTGCAGAGCAAGGTGAGCTAACAAAACATTCCTCAAACTGAGGCAAAAGGCCGCCCGAGACACCCGACGAGGTGGTCTGGAGTTGGAACTGGCTGACGCCCGAGCAACTGCGCGCCGAATGGTGCCGCGAGCTCGCCCGCGTCGCGAGGACGAGATCGCCACGGCCCCGCTAACCGTACTGCAGAGCAAGGAGAACTAAAGCCTGGTCCGTGAGCACGTACATTGGACCAAATTCTACGTGCTCACGGACCAGGTTTAGCATATTCTAGTCCTTTAGATCTCTTTCCCTAGTCGACCTAATGGACTGGCAGGTGAAAAAGTTCGGCCAAACCAACGCGATCAGCCGGCGTGCAGCAATGGCGATCAATGCATTTAAGTCTGGTCGCCATCGCTGCACGCCGGCTGATCGCGGTTGATCGCGTTGGTTTGGCCGAACCTAAACAACTGCGCGCCGAGTGGAGCCGCGAGCTCGCTCGCGTCGAGGACGAGATCGCCGCGCTGCGCACCGTACTGCAGAGCAAGGTGAGCTACCGAATGAAACAGAAGGAGATCTTACAACTTCCCGCTATGTTGAGCTGCCAACTGGGCCGCGTCAAGACACCCGAAGAGCTGGTGAGATTGACGCTCGAGCAGGTGGAGAAGCCGTGCGTCGAGGACGAGATCGCCACGCTGCACACCGTACTGCAGAGCAAGGTGAGCTAACATAAACGAACGTCAATATGCCTTTGGTCCCTTGATCTGGTCGACCTAATGCAGCGGCAAATGGAGCAACTCTTCACTGACTGAACCTGTAAACAATGGCTCCGCCGCACACCGTTTGTTTTGTTCCTTAAATGACACAAAATCCACGCTGCGCACCGTACTGCAGAGCAAGGTGAGCTAACAAAACATTCCTCAAACTGAGGCAAAAGGAGATCTAACAATTTCTTGCTGTGTGGAGGTGATAACTCGCCTGCAAGTGGAAGTACCAATACGCTCGCGTATAGGACGAGATTGCCACGCTGCGCACCGTACTGCAGAGCAAGGTGAGCTAACATAAGCAAACGTCAATATTGTAGCCTTTGGTCCCTTTATCTGGTTGACCTGATGCAGCGGCAAATGGAGAAACTTCACTGACTGAACCTGTAAACAATTGCCCCACCGCACACCGTCCCGCAAAGCAAGGTAAGTTAACAAAATGGTCATTTTTGTTCCTTAAAATTTAAGGCTAAATGACACAAAAGAACATCTAACAAATTCCTGCCGTGTGGAGGTGTCAACTCGCCCGTGTGTCGAAGAGTACACTATTCAACACTTCAAAGCCTTCAAGGCTGATTTGGATCCTCGGTGTCACGCCATGAGGAATAGTGTCCTCAAGGGAAACAGACAATAACAACAAATTCAAAGCTAATTTGAATTCATACAAATTGAACGCCGCGCTATCTCTACAAAAAATCGCCCGGAACATCATAATACAAGCTTCAAGTATATGAATAATTAGTGTTGTCGGGCGAATACAATACATAAATATGTAAAGAACAATCTACAAATGTACTCAATTTTTTACAACGTAATTTCCCAGTTAATTATCCCCTTGTCAGTGAAAGCCCAGTATATATTCGCAATTCGCATTTTTTGTCTATTGATAATTTGATAGTATTGTGTATGAATTTTATTCCTTGTTATATTCTTTCTTAAATTATTTTGTTTGTTTTTCGGCAGATTCGTCAAAGTTCCGAACTCAAACGAAAACTTGGCATTACAGTGTGGAAAGAAATTACTGAAGATGTTAATCAGGGTTTGAAAAATGTTAAGGAAAGCCAAGTGTAAGTATACATATTTGGATTTGTATTGAAAATGTATTATAAGACTTATAATATAGTACCATATTTATGTTAAGTATTATTAGATTCTCTAGATTTAGAGGATTAGAAATATTTAGGCCAGGTGTTGGTGCAATGTGTGTCGCTTTCTTGCATCGATTTTGCTTGCGCTTGGTAAAAAGATCATAGAATGGTGGCGTGCAATTTTAGTTTCTTTTCATTTCACTTTTGATTTGTAGCTATCAGTCGATAGAAACACGCGTGGCCACACTTACACAGGCTGTGACAGAATCACCAATGTAAGTAAAGTTGACATTGTGGAGGTCTTAACACTTTGCACATAATGCCTTTGTTTTAGAAATTAACAAAGCCAGTTTAGTAAGTTACGGTTGCGGTCAGAAAATATTTATATACCACCTTGAGCATGCATGCATTTGTATCACAAGGTCGATATGCTAGTTATAAATATGATTCGCATGTGTTAAACATGATATAAACAAATGAGTTTTACCATTTAAAAGTCATTATTTTTTTTCCTAGTTTTTTGTTATAATAAATATCTAACAACAGAAATATGACAATTTCACAATTCATAACCTAGTATTATAAATATTTTAATAATGAAAAATATTTTCTGACTGCGACTATGTCGGTAATTTCATAATTTTGAGATTTTAAGTTTTATCAAAAGTTTATCCAAGATTTGTTTATTTTGTTGACGTGATCAAGATAAGATATGAAGAGATTAAGTATTGTGCATACCGGCACAAAATGCAACATGCCTATCTAAATTATCAAAAGTCCACTAAAGGTTCCATGCTTGACTTAAAACGGAATGCTGAGTTTTCTGCATGGTAGTTCACATAATATCCTGTAGTACTGCAAAATTGCCGTTTGGATAGAATACCACATTTATTTTATACAACTAATACCATACTTCGCTTCAACTGCAAAGACATTTTGATGCCGTTGTGTTAGTGATGGTTGACGAGTTAAAAATGTTTGTAAACTAATAAGGAAAAGGAATTATTAATGGCTATAAAATATTTTAAACCCAAAATAGAAGAAAAAAAACAACAATAAAAACAAAATTAAAATTAGTCTTCTCAGTCGGTACACTCTTGTCAGAGTGGTCGTGGTCATCATTTTGAATCACTATTCAGAGTGATGTTCCTCGTAATACGGCGCCATTCCACGCGGACTGCAGATTTCCGGATTAAAATTAGTAGTTACAGATATAATGCGTAACTGAGTCGGTGCCTGGGCATAGAAATCTGAAGGAGATATGAAGTCTCGCTGCCGTTTGACGTCACTAAAATACTCTTTCGTGCTGCTCCCATGCCTTAAGCATTGAGCCATTGACTCGGTTACGCACTATACCTTAGTTTATTCTATGTCACTTCTTGAAAATAACTGTTGACAAAAATACTTTTCGCCATCCAGATACCAAAAAACTGAATCTGTGATAAAATCGACGGCGGAGAAGACGACCTCGATACTGGGCGGCATCACGGCCGGCGTGTCGCACAAGCTCGGCCAGATGCGCAACTCCGACTCCTTCCGCTCCATCGAGGAGCGCGTCGGCTCCGCTTATGAAAACGTTAAGGTGAGCTGCGTTTTGTGTTTACTGAAAACGCTATTTGAGCGAAAAAATAGTGAGGGAAACCGTCGGGCAATCGTGTCAAGTTTCTATCTGTTCGTCATGATACGGTTACACCACCAACTAGTGCTAAGAACGTGCCATAGTTTGTCGTAATTGCCATAGACAGTTTTCAAAAGAGCTATGATACGAATCTCGCGATGTAAACGTTTTACATAGACCAGTCCAAAACGCATCGTGTGATGTTTTTTCGCTCAATGAAAGTTTTATGTCTTCGAGCGTAACACATACACAAAGCATGATCTTCATTATTGTAAATTGTCACTAAAAAGGATATTTTATTATTTGCCTGCCAATCTGGAAATCATTTGGTAGGCCAGGCCTATCTTCAGCAGTGGCTGAAATTAAGATGACGATGATGAATGTGCCCGGCACACGAAACTTTCCCTATTTTAAGTTTGCATTTAGCATGTAACCAATGTTATTGTTCTTAAACTCATCATCATCTCAGTCATTGGACGTCCACTGCTGAACATAGGCCATCCCGAATGGTTTCCATGTTGCCCGGTTGGTAGCGGCCTGCGTCTAGCGCCTTCCTGCTACCTTTATGATGTCGTCGGTCCCATTTTCTTAATTTAGTTAGTGGTAAAGGCTTCCACAGACCAAACGCGGGTCAGAAGCAGTGCAGGTCAGTTACAGCGCGGCTGAGGCACACTGAAAGCAGCGCAGTTTCAAAGCAGTTGCAACGCGGGCGGTTGTCAAAAATTTAAATATTCGAAAACCGCTTTCAACGCGCTGCTACCGCCCTGCGTCCGGTGTGTCATGCTAATATGGCCGCCATAGTAATACAACAGCGCGGGCCCGCGTTCGCGCCGCCTCGTTTGTCGTTCGGCAGTTGCAGTGCGGCGCGGTTTCTTGTATTACAACCTGCGCGGGCCCGCATTCAAACTGCGCTGCTACTGCCCCGCGTTTGGTCTGCCCAAGCCTTAAATAAACATTGCTAAAAGACCTCAGATCTCGTTCTTACCTTTCATTTTATCGTGTCCGCAGGGTAAAGTAGCCTCGCGGTCCAACTCGACACAGAGCTTCGACGAGGCGCTCCGCGACGCAAGCCGCGCGGCCAGCGGCGCCACCTCGCCCACCATCCCCGAGAACAAGCCGCTGCCCTAGGCCGCGCGCACGCAGGGACGGGACGTTACACGAGCAACGAGCAACTGAAATAACGCAAAACTTGAATCAATTTGATTTACAGTACTTTTTAACAGACTTCAAAAAAGGAGTTTCACAATGAGGGTTTTCGCGATTGAAAAATGCGCCAGATGGCAATACGTAGACGCGAGGTCCAAATGCTGCATGATTGGTTATTATTGACATTGACAGATATGTCAAAATCCACTAATCACGCAGCATTTGGACCTCCCGTCTACGTATTGCCATCTGGAGGATTTTTCAATCGCGAAAACCCTCATTGGAGTATGTTTTTTTGAACATACGTAATTTTTTTTTCTATCATGCCGTGTCTAAAAGTTCGGTTCAGTAATTTAAACAAAAATGTATAGTCTTATGTGCTGACGACTGTAAGCTCCAGTTATAGCAATGTGTGCTTGCGTTATTTGAGGCATGATCAAAGAGAATAGAAAAATATTCACTATTTAAACCGTCATATGTATATTGTATGTATGTATATAGTTAATAATAAATGTATCTGAGCTTTTGCGATATTTCAGCTACACGTTGTATACTTACAGTTTCATTTATCCGACAGCTGTATTTGTCGAAATAACCCCTTCTAGAACTGTATCGCGACTGTGTATCGATGTTAGGTATTAACTTATGTTGTTTGGGGTTACGCGACAGCTCTTGTCTTTAGACAATAAATATCAGAACTCATCTAAAATCACTTTAATTATCAAGAAATTAACTTATTATTATTTTTAGACTTTTGAGTGCATTCCCAAAAGACAAAATTGTATATTTCTGTTGTTAGGGGAAGAAAGGGTAGAAATATGTGTCGTCTGTTGAAATGATATGATTGGCGGTCAAGGAAAGGTACAATATACAAACTTCATTCGTTGTTATATAAATTAATATAATTGTGTTGAAGATGAAAGCCTCCTTTACTACAATTTAAATCTACTGTGGCGTGGTTGCACTATAAAAGTTTTCAATTTTGCAACGCTTCATGTTTTTACTTTTTCACAAATGTTCGTCTGAATAAGCATTCCAAAATTATTTTTCACACTAGCTAGACGGTTTGTATTATGAAGTGGCACTTAAGTCTGACTAAAAATTGTCATTCTTTTTCACTGCGTTGTTCAAAACGGAATACTCCTGATAAATCAATCAACAGGACCGCTATCCTGTATAAGTTAAAGGAGAAAAATAAATGCTGTTAAACAATTCCTTGAATGTGTATAAATTGGGCTCTCTGTCACAGTCATGGTGAATAGAGCAGAAGTAACATTGCAGACAAAGGTCCATCACTTTTATATTAATATTACACATGTTGTAACCTTGTTGTGTAGCAAAATGTGTGTGTATAAGACACTATAACTTGCCGATGCCTGTTAGGTCCATGGAAAAATGATATTTTTATAAGATGCTTAGCTTTCCTTTACTTGATAAATGTTTTCACTATTTACATTAATTACCTTTGAAGATGGTAAATAAATTTATGTATTAAAATGTTTGTATTATTCATACTTTCTTTACNTCATGTGGGTTTTTACCCGGGTGGAAACCCATCTCTAGACACGCATCCATCTGAAGTTAGCTTAACTCCCATTCCCTTATAAAACAAAAACTTTACCATCAGGGTATAGATTTTTGTAGCAAAACTAACCTATTACACTAAAATCAATCCAACAAATCTTACTTTCGTATAAAACGGTAGATGTACCTATACCGAATCATTCTTTCCACTTGACACCACTCTAGTGATGTCTAGAACTAATAGTCTAGAAACGCGTTTTTGACAAACAGTGCCCCGATTACGCTTAATTTTTAACATCATCAATACAGAAGCGCGTCTGTATTGGAGACGTTTAAAAATTTGCGTAATCGGGGCCCAGCTCCCAATTCATTATTTTAAGTTATCTTTTATAGGTTCATTATATAAGTATAGTAAGCGCCCCCTACTGCGGTACCTACCTATAAGGCACTACGACATTTTATTTAAAAATAACGAAGCATGATATCAGTATGAAAGCTTTTGTATGGTGAACTTTAGTCTTTGGACAGTAACTACAATTTGAACTTTATTTAATATTAATTATTTTGTGGACCTCTTGTTTGGACCCTGTTTCGTGATAAAATTTTGCTCTGTTTCCCTATTTCGGGATAAGTTTTTATACATCGAGTTAGGATATTTTATTATTGGTTACGGGACTATTCCCACCACTGCAACTCTTGTGTAGGATCTACAGCTTTACCGCCACAAAAACTCAACCAATGAAGGTCATGTTTGTCCCGGGGGAAAGTTAAACTGTCATGGGACCCGCAACGAAATTAATCAGAAGAACAGGAGGAGTTCGAAATTAAGGTTCATACCATATCAACAACTAAGCAACTTTGGTGAGTTGTTCTGATTACGCCCGGGATGGATGCTATTACACAAAATGTATGGATTTTACGCTAGTAGGTAAAAATCTATTTTTTTGTATGTAACATCACTAATAAGGAATGATTGTACCGAATTCAAATACATTGCATTTTACAAGCATTTTAGTTTTTTTACCTTTTAAAGTAGTTTTGTTGCTAAATCCCGTTATTGAGATAAAGCATTTTTGTATTTATATCACAGAACAAAATGTTCTATTTTTTTACTATTGGCTAAACAGACTAACAAAAGAGACTAAAGTAAATAAAAACACGCTGTACTCAAAGCTCATGTAGATTTATTGAGAACAAACAAATGATTGCTTTAGATTTGAGATACTTCCTTGTCAAAAAATAAAAAATAGCTGGTGGTGCCTCAATACTTACATTTTATTGCAGAACTTAAAAAGTAGGTACTTTTTAAGTTCGGTCCCGGGTTCGATTCCCGGCCGGGCAGAAATTGAAATGATGAATTTTAATTTCTGTGACGGGTCTGGGTGTGACTATGTATAATATTTATGTATTTAAAAAAAAAAGTATATAAGTAGTAAGTATATCCGTTAAGCTAGCACCCATAACACAAGCATTAAGTTGCTTACTTTGGGGCTAGCTGGCGCTGTGTAAAATTGTCCAAAGATTTATTTATTTTTTGTGCAATGTAGTATGTATGTAGTATGTGTCAGTCTAAAATTCATTTTGATCGAATCTTATTACTGGTATTTATATCCAAATTAATCCAACATTAAAAATTAAACTAATACTTTTAAGTGAAAAAAGAAAACCTAAATAGGGTTAAAAATATAACTAAATACTTATTTTATTTTCAAAGATGTATTTTGCAGAATCTAGTTTTACAAGAATATAATTAATGTTGAACATTTACAGGCTCAATATCATTCACAGGATTGTATGAGGCGGATTAATATTTCTATAGTCTTATTACTCCTAGTAGACAACAACATGTGTGATACATACAGATTTATTTAATATAACATTAAACAATTCAATGAAATGGGAATCTTAGCATACGACGGAATCAAATCAAGAGAGAACAGGACAGAGGAAACAAATTGGCCTGAGATATTTTTTGCGAGTTCTAAATTAAAACTAAAATATACACTACAATCAACTTGGATAATTTTGAACATAAAACAATTAATATAGGTACACACATTTCCAAATCAATGGGAGTAATACATGGGGCAATATAATCAGCCCCTGCACGTAATTGAAATGGCTACAGTTTAAAAAAAAAGTTTAATTATTTCTATGAAAGGTCGTGGGTTCATACCCCACTTGGCTCTTGAGTAGGTAAGCAGTTTTCTTTGAGATTCAATAAGTAAACATTAAAGTGATTATTCACTGTTCAAAGTTACCCGAGTTAATCTGTTGCAAAGGTGAGTGAGCTTTATTTGTGTGTGTACGTGTACATGCACATAACAATAGTGTAATGTCTATCAAAACTTTTGAGAAACGAACAGTAACGAGCCACCACACATGTAAAGCTCACTCGCCTTCGTGAGTTGTACAAAGGAACTATCGAATAGAATAGAATAGAAAACGTTTTATTTGTAAGAAAGGTATACAAGCAAGCAAGACATAAATACAAACAGAGAGAAATATACAAGTAGACAACTAACTACTTGTGCCCCTCTGACAAAAAGGTACACGCTCAGCGATCGGGTAAACGTTCGTTTGCCTGTCTTGAAGTAAGTCATAGTAAGTAATGTAAGTATGCATGTAAAGCAATAATAATAATTATAAAGTGCATAAGCATAGCATTTCCATATAATTATGAACTATTACTAACACAAAAAGCAATGAAATGGAAAGAATTATCTCTACTAGCACAGAACAGTCGTATTCAGAAATATCTAAAGTCAAAGGGCTCAAAATATCTTAACAATTAAGGCACCCAAATGGGATTAGTATTGCATGTTTATGAGTGAAGGTATTGAATACTTTACTGCCACTGTAAATATACAGTGTGAGTCACGATAAAGTGCACATATGAAAATAGGTGAAACTAGACCTATGTTTATCGACAAAAAAGAGGTCAAAATTTTTTGAGATTTTTTTTTAATTTTTCATAGTATTTTTTTTTTCTTCCAATTACTTCTTGTAAAGAAAACGTAATAACTTTTAAACTAAGATGTATATCCTGATAAAATAAAAACAGTAATAATGCTAAATAACAGGCGATAGGTAAGTACTAAAAAATACCTAAAATACCCTGTGCACTTTATCGTGACTCACACTGTATTTCCAATTTCTTTTAAGATATTTTTAAGATGATGTTGATGATGATAAACAAGCAGAATGCAAAAAACCCAAACAGAAAAATACACGAGTTATAGTTGACTCCACAATGTTAAGAAATACAACCCGGTCGAGTTAACTGCGCACCTTAAAGCCGTGACGTCACTTCGACACTGGTAACGCGGGGAAGTGTGCGAGGGAGTCGCATTCCAGCGAGGTGCGCAGTTAGCTCGATCGGGTTGTACAGTCGCGGACTGAAAAGGTTCGTCACCTTAGTGTCGGTTTTCGCTTGCACTAGGTACTGTAAGAGTCAAACCTGCCAACATAAAAGTGCAAGAAACAGTGCTGCTAACATTTAAATAAATATGACGTTTGCTAACGAATAAGGTTTTGCTTGTTTATTTTTCTATCCCATCAGTGCAATGCAATGATGACATTGACCAATTGACA